CTGCTTCGCTTACAATCGGCCGGGACACCGCAAGAGCGAATGCCCGGAAAATGCTAAGGGAAAGGGGGAAGCTGAGCAGCAGAAACAGACCAAGCAGCAGGGAAACGTTGGGAGTCAGTAGCAGACGGGCCCTCTACTGACAGGTCACGCCGCTCGCCCGACCCAACCGACCTTCACCGAGTGATTGTGCCAGTTCATGCAATCGATCACACCCGGCCGAATAAGGAGGGTACTACGGTAGACAGCCCCATACAGCTTAGTGGGAAAATTGGGACGGACTTAGTTAAAATATTTGTAGACAGGGGAGCCAGCCACAGCCTGATCAACATCGCCACAGCACAAAAACTGAGACTGCCACTGGACAGATGTTTACCTGAGATTGATGCAAGACTGTTTGACGGCACTCCACCGGCGATACAGGAACGCGTAGACCGAGTTCGGATTCGATGCGAAGGTAACTTCACGTTGAGTGAAGAAATGCTCGTGACAACCCTCGACGGAACCGACATTTTACTCGGTTGTGATTGGCTACGAGACACAACCCGCGAATCGACTAGACGACGGGGGACTGCACCGTGCGAGTGAACGGTAACAACATCGCCTTACCTCGCTGTGGCTCGCTTGAGCCTTCGTCGGTGCGTGTCAACGCGATCACGATGAAACGCGCCGTAGCGGACCGGATGACTTGGCAGCACTCCTGAAGCAGTACAGTGGGATATTTTCGGATGACCTGCCGACAGGACTGCCACCTCACTGACCACACGACCACATGATAGAGTTAGAACCAGGGGCACAACCGACAGTACAGCGACAGTTCCGTCTGACCCAACCCGAACTAGACGAATTGAGGAAGCAGCTGGATTACCTGCTCGAGAAAGAGTTTATTCGCCCGAGTTCGTCACCCTTCGCAGCACCGATACTGTTCACACAAAAAAAAGACGGGGGTTTTTGCATGTGCATCGACTGTCGCGCACTGAACAGGGTTCCATCAAATCCCGTTACCCCATCCCACGAGCCGAAGAAATGATCGACCAACTGCGCATAGCACGGGTTTTCTTGAAAATCGACCTTCGGGGAGGCTACCACCAGATCCGAGTCAACCCACCCGACTGCCCGAAGACAGCTTTTTGAAGATGCTACGGATCCTTCGAATACATCGTCATGCCTTTCGGACTGACCAATGCCCCCGCCACTTTTCTAATGACCATGAACGAAGCCTTCCGCCCGCTCTTATATAAGCGCGTCATCGTCTACTTGGACAACATACTGATTTACAGCCCAGACAGAGCACAGCACCTACAGGACATCGAAGCAGTTTCTAAAATGATGAGTGAGAACTGCCTAATGACTTAAGCCTCGAAGTGTGAGTTTTTACAGGACAGACTAGAGTTTTGGGGACACATCATTTCAGTTTTGGGGACACATCATTCAAGCTTGGCACGCGTCGACCAACTTGACGGAGTTGCAGAGTTTTCTGGGGTTCGTCAACTACGTGCGTTGGTTTGTCCCCGACATGGCGAAGTTGATTGCCCCGTTGACCGACCTGCTGAGGAAGGGGGTTGAGTACACGTGGGGGGAGAATGAGCATGCTGCCTTCTCGGCCCTCAAACGAATTTTGTGCTCGCCGCCCGTGCTTCACATTGCAGATCCGCACTGTCCGTTCGAGCTCGTCACCGACGCTAGCAACATCGTCGTGGGAGCAGTACTTTTGCAGGATTTTGGGAACGGCCTCCAGCCAATCGCGTACGAGTCCCGCAAGCTTCACCCGCCCGAACGCAACTACCCGATACACGACCGCAAGATGCTAGCGATCGTGCACGCATTCAAGGTGTGGCGATGTTACCTCACGGGAGCGGACGTGACAGTACGGACAGACCACCAATCACTACAGTACCTTCGCGCCCAATCGAATCTCATCCCGAGACAGAAAAAGGCGCATCAAATAACGCCGACGCACTCATATGCCCCACCGCCCAACTTCACGCCATCCTACTCGCCCAAACCAACCCGCTGTTAACAGGCATATTCACCCACGGATATAGTACCGACCCATTTTTCACGACCGGAAATTCTCAACAACTGGTAGAAGCTAAGGGAGTCTATTACGTGAAAACAGGCACCAACCGCATCTGGGTACCCGCGTACTCACTACTGAGGGAACTGCTACTGCAGGAGGCACACGACGGAATTACTTATGGACATTTTGGGGTACAAAAAATGCGACAGCAACTGCAGCGGTATTACTACTGGCCGGAGTTGTTGACCAACGTACAGCACCACGTGGGCTCGTGTCCTATGTGTCAGGTGATGAAGAGCTCACGAAAACGGAAGGTGGGTCAGTTGTAGCCGATTCCACCACCTGAGCGCGCATGGCAGCATGTTTCCATGGATTTTGTCACAGGGTTACCTTCGAACCCTGGGGGTAACGGCGGGGTAATGGTCGTGGTTGACAGACTGACGAAAATGGCTCATTTCGCTGCGTGCAAGAAATCGATCTCAGCCGAAGAAACGGCTCGCTTGTTCATCGCAACCGTTGTTCGACTGAACGGGATACCAGTCGCGATAATCAGCGACCGTGACACAAAGTTCACTAGCAACTTCTAGAGGAGCATTTGGGAGCAGTTTGGGACCAGGCTACAGTTCAGCTCATCGTACCACCCCGAGACCGACGGTCAAACGGAACGGACCAACCAGACGATGGAGTAGTTGATTCGGGCCACGTGCGACGACCCGACAACTTGGGAGCAGCAGCTGCCGCTGATCAAGTTCGCGTACATCAACGTCACGTCAGCAATGACGCAGCAGTCCCCATTCTATATGAAATACGGGCAAAACCCAACAGTGCCCATGACGCCGAGTCCGGACAACCCAACGCCACGTGCACAGCAATTCGCCGAGATCCTGCAAGCTGCGCGCACCAGAGCTGCTGAAGCAATTAAAAAAGCCAACGCCATCGCTAAACGCAACGCTTACCCCCACTGCCGCCGAGTGATGTACCACTCAGGAGATTACGTACTGCTCGACACACAAAACTTAAAACTGCCCGTCGTACCGAAATTACGACCGCGCTACTATGGACCTTTCCAAATCAGCCGCATGATCACACCAGTGACCGCCCACTTACTGTTGCCGACAGACTGGTACATCAGCCCATCATTCCACGTCAGCCTTCTTCACCCCTACATCCCAACCACAAGCCAACTACCTCGTCACCGCCCCTCCATCCATGACTCGCCCTGCATCGGAGCCGATCATCGAGCCCAAAAAGATTCTGAGCCATCGGATCCGACACCCTACGGGAATCAAGAGGATCGAGTTCCTCGTTCGTTGGAGGAGCCGCACGCCAAGTGAGGATAGCTGGGTGCCCCTAGCCAATATTGAAAACCACCCTACCCTGCAAGTGTACCTGAGGAGCCGGGGTTTCCTCGATATACACGCACTCGCATAGCGGAGGGGGCTTCTTGAGGGGGAGGGGGGGTGGGGGGTAGTGTAAGGAATTTTCTTGACATTCCTTAGCACATCCTGCAACATCGCGTACAACAGCAGTCGTTGTTTGCCCGTAACTGCTAGCGGGGCTTCGCCGGCCGTTTCTCCTCTCATCGGCTGAAGATTGTGCCCCAGAGCAACCCATACTTGGCCACTCTACACGTCGAGACTTCTTGTTTGTTATGAAAGAGATCGCTCCCTCGCCCCAATGGTTCCCTCCTGGTGGCCTGTCACTGTGTGCTAAAAGCTAGAGTGCCAGCTTCCACTATCACGAGAGAATAACAAACAAGAAGCATCGAGGAGTTGGGCGTGTTTGACCTTACTCAACCCCAGGCTGCACATTTCCTAATGTGCGGCTCGGGGTTGGGATGCATTTGTGTTTCACATTTCGCCCTTAGGTGCCTTTCCCTCGCTAACTCAACCGCTCCTATGCAATTCCCCCCTTCTACAACCCCTTGCAACAGTCACTTTGCTACATTCTATACCCCTACACTAGTTTTATTGTCTATCCATTAAATGCATATTCGATTATACCCTCAAGTACTTCCTAGACCAGCAACCAACTGTTATTGCAGATGCATCAAGTGCATATGCGGTGACACATCGCTGGCTGTCTGAATGGCTTTCATCTAATGACCATCCAAGATTGATTATCTAGGGCAAAAAAGATTTTGGACGATGCAAGGATGACTACAGCTAGCTTAGTTCTACATACATGACTGTTCTAGGTAGCAATAGTCTCTGCCTCGGTACAAACAGTTAAGCATCCATCACCCAGTCAGCCTTGTTCGGGAGATCCGAATCTATGTCTCTGCCTCCTGTTTGTGCTTGCATGAGCACTTGCTTGCATTGTGGTCCAGCTGTCCAGGCTGCCGGCATGCTCGAACGCAGTACTTGCCAGCTGATGGTTCGCTTCTCGCATCCTCGTTAGCAGCTCCTTGCTCTGAAAGGAAACGTGCACACCGGACACCATTCACCCCTACGCACACCGCTGCACACCACATGCTGATTCGATACTGCATCTTCGAATATGTGCAATACATTCCATGCTCAAGACCCTCTTATAGTACACAAACTCCAGTCGGTCATGAGGTCACTGATTCTGCTGCACGATTTGTGTAGATTCGTTACACGTCAAGCACCAAGTTTTTTCTTACAACCGACCTCCAATCCCTTCCCTCTACTTCTCTTCCGCGCCTTCGGCCGCTCCACCCCCCGCAACTCCAGCTTGCAGGCACATCCCCCTCCACCACTCTCAGGGATGCCTTCCTCTCCTACCCCGTTCCCCGCTGCCTCCTCTCCATGCCATCAGCCTCCAATTTCCATCCACACCCCCTCCACTCCCCCTACCCCCCCCCCTCTCCTCTTGGCTCCTATTTACCCCACTCCCCCCATACTCCCTCTAATCTTGGCTCCTCCCATCCTCACACCTCCCTTCCTCCCTCCACTCCTCTTGCCTCATCTCGTCTTACCTCCACTCCTTGTCGATCCTATCTTATCAACTGTGTAGGCGGTCACTCGAATTGCGATGGGCAACCTCTATGACTCGCATAGCTTGCTGCGCCCGCATCTGCATTGAGGTGAGGTGGGGCCGCCTGATAGTCAATACAGCCCCTGGGAAGGGCCGATTCGGGACATGCGGAAGAGAAACGGGGGACATGGAAGTTGAAATAGACAGCTCGTGGGCGCTCATGAGGACCAGGCTACACTTGGCACACACCTCTCCCTCAATCGCATCCTCCTCCACCACATGCCAGCCCATGCCGTTCCAATGCACGTCCTGCCTCCTCGCATTGTATGCACCCATGCCACGCACCATAGGGTTATCCATGTCATTTCCCATCCATCCTCTTCCCTGTGCATACGAGCCGTCATGGCCGGGAACCCCCCTACCAGGCGCACCGTTAAGATGAGCCACCCTCCTCTCCTCCTTGCCCACACCCTCCTTGTCACTCTCCTTGCCAGAACCACCACCACTGGCACCATCGCTACTCCCCCCACCGTCCCCATCATCCTCATCCTCATCGGTATTTGACCCATCGCTCGCAAATAAATGACCATCACCACCAGCTTTTTCACTCCATCCGGCACTCGGACCATTAGCAGCCGTAGCATGCATTTCTCGAGGGCAAGCCATATGCTCATTTTAATCGCTAGCACATCGCCCTTTGCTCCCAGTGCCACCCTCTCCTTGACAAGCATTTCTTCTCTCCACGCCGCTTCTACTGCTCTTGCACCTTCTGTTGACGACGCAGCTGATGCTGCTGCTGCTGCTGTTGAAGCAGCATCTGCTGCTGTTGCTGAGACGGCTGCTCTAGCCTGTGTGTTTCAACCAGCTTTTTCTGCATTGCTGCATTGGTAGGCAGAGAGGAAGTGGGGGCAGATGGAGAAGAGGGGGGAGGAGCAGTTCGGGTTAAAGGAGAGGGGGAAGTGGGATCAGAGGAGGGGACAGAGGAGGAGGGAGCGACAGGAGTTGAGTCATCAGTTGAAGAGTAGGAGGCGGGGGGAGGCTGAAATAATGCAGGTGTGAGCGGGAGAGGAAAGGATGGTGTAGGTGAAGTAGATGCATGGAGGCGAGGAGATGCATCGGGGAGGGAAGATGGGAGAAGCACATCTATGACTCTTGTAGCTCTTGCGACTGTTGTGGGTGTTGTACTTGCTGTGGCTGTTGGGGTTCTTGTGGCATCCGTAAGTCCAATGGCTTCCTTATCAACCTCTTCCTTGGCCTCCTCCCCTTTAGATTCATCCTCCGCTTTCTTCCCAGTGCCCTCAACGCCTCCGCCTCCCATTTTCGCCTCTCCCCCCACCTCTCCCTCCATCTCTCCCTCCGTTCCCCCTGCCCCTTCCTCACTGCACCTGCCTTCCTACTGCTCCTCCTGCTGTTCCACCCCTTGTTGCTCGCTGTGCTGCCCTCTCGCCTCAGCGTCCAGTCCACTCTCTTTTCCCCTCCCTTGCTCTGACTCACTGCCTCCCTCGCCCCTATCTCGTGTCACCCCACTCCAGTGCACTTCATTGTCATGCGTCATATTCAACCCCCTCGCTCTATCTTTCCCCACCTCCTGCCCCTCTTGCCCTTCTTGTCCCTCTTCCCTCACTCACTCCGCTTCTCGGCCCTCCTCCCTCCACACCTCCGCTCTCTCCCCCACTTGGGTCAGAGCACACCAAATCATCCACATGCACACATTAATCTGCATTTGGGGGGTTATTTCGTCGAATCAAAGTTCACCTTCGTGCCCTTGTCGTCCTCACAGGAAGGGGAGTCCGTTTGATGCTATTGCGCACCCAGGCGGCTTGGCGGAGGGTGACGTGCCACCACGCATGCTTCATGCCCATGTGGATTAGCATCGTCCGCACGGCCTTGACAACTGTGCGCATCTCCCGCCCCACCATGCTGTCTGCTGTGAAGTGTAGGGGCATGTGAGGTTGTGGAGGATATTTTGTCCTCGACAAGGTCGATGAAGGCCCAACCGAGGAACTCCCCTCCACGATCAGAACGCAGCATTTTCACCGTCTTCGAGGTCTACCGCTCCACCACCTTCGGCCACTTCTCGAAGACGACCAGCACATCGCTCTTCTTCGCGATTAGCCAAACCCACACATAGCGGGTCTTGCGGTCGTTGAGGAGGAGGAAGTAGAGGCTCCCATCCTTAGTGGCCACGCGGAAGGGGCCGTAGAGGTCGATGTGGACGACGGCGAGCGCGTTCTAGGCGGCCAATCCCTCGGGGAAAGTGTGTCGCGCCAGCTTGCCATCTACGCAGGAGACGCAAGGCAGGTTGGCCCCAGACAACGGCTGGATTTCCAAGCCAGTGGCAAATACATGCGCCGCTAAACGTTTGATCATGCCAGATGAAATCAGTAGAGCATGTCAGATGTCTGGGGCCGACTTCGTCGACGAGGCGATCGTCCGCAGAGCAATTGTCCCTGTCAACGTTGACGTCGGTGTCGACGAGCAGGGGTAGAGTCGGTGCAAAGTACCCGTCCTGTGTAACGTGGTCAACCGAGCACATCTCTTGTAACGGAAATGAGTAGCATCTCATCGCCCTCGTCTTGCAGCTTCACGCCGATGCCATTTTACTTACCTGCCAACAGCATATTCGACTGCACACCTGGGACGTACAGCACGTCGGGGATGAGAATTGGCTTTCCGGCCTCCCCTTTCAGCACAACCGTGCCGCGGCCTTGGACAAATTGAATCGACCTGTTGACGCCGCCCCACGGCTGATGTCGCCTCTTGGCTTCATGTCGACGAAGGCCTCTCGCGCTCCCATCATATGATGGGAGCAGCCACTGTCGAGGAGCACCACGGTCGGCATGGCCTAGCTACTGCAACCGCGTTGTCGACTTCTTCTTGCACAGCTAGTTGTCTCGATGACGATGGTCGGCGTCAAACTTCCCATCCTTTGAACGATGGGTGTTCTCAGAATTTTTACGTCTTCATTTCTGGTCATCGTCAGACTCGTTGCAGTTGGGGCAATCGTACGAGAGGTAGTCGTGGTATCCGCAGAGGTAGCACCAGCGTCCTCCTTGATGCAAGCCACTACCACCGCGATCATTGCCCTTCGCCGACTTCCCACGGTTGGCACCCTATGTTGACTTGGTGTTCGACGACTTCCCTTCTTCGTAGAGCCGATGCAGGTGGCTTGCGGAAGGAGCTCCGTGGGCCACTCTCCCTCGTGCATGAACTCATCCTAGATGATGTGGCTCGCCAGCAAGTCTTCGTTGAGCGTCTCGCGCACGCTAGCAAAGTTAGCATCCGGCGCATCATATTGTAGCCCGTAATGGGGCCTTTGATGACGTGCGTGATATATGATGCCACTGAGTAGTCGGCGCCAGCCATCTACAGGTCGGCCGGAATTCGCCAAGCTCGATTGCAGCACTCGGTCGCCGACTCCTGCTCACCCATCCGAATGCTGGTCAATCAATGCTTCAGCTGGCCGATGTAGAGGTCGTTGGTCGCCTTGTAAGTGCGCATGACGAACTGCCAGGCTTGGTAGCTGGCGTCCACCTGAATTTGGCAAGACTTCAAGGCGACTTTCAAGTGGATGACCAATTAGGTCCTGAGATGAGCGACTTTCAGGAGATGAGGGCGAGCAGCACCTCGAAACGACCAATTAGGTCAGGAGATGAGCGACGCAAAATTTCGCCCAAAGTTTGGCCTCGTCTTCGTCTGGCGCCTCAACATCTTCGTTGATTTTCTTCAATCCGGCGATCTCCAGCTGAAACTCGAAAAACGTTGTCCATGTTGTCATGTCGTGTGGACCTTAGAGCGACTTTGAGACAGCGATCTTGTCTAGCGAAAGCTTGAAGAAGCCGTACACCGGCGCGATACCTCCATCTTGACCTGCCAACACATGAGTCGCCGAAGTCGGCGAGACTCCATTTCTCTGGGGAGAATGACGTCGTCCGTCAACGTCACCGTTCGAGCTGCCGGCAGTCATTGTCGACAGCAGAACTCGCGTCTGCACTCCGCCCGCGCCTACGTCTACAGCCCGAATCACTCCACGGGTCACCCTGGTGCTTCCTCCGCTGACAACGTTGCCACCGGCGCCTTCGTTGTTTCGAGGACAGGGAGAGGGGAATGCACCATCCGCTTTAGCATGGAGAGCGGATGCTCACGCGGTTACTGTGCGCGAGTTCCTAGGAGCATAGTCTCCATGTCCACCTCGCTGTACTCGCCAGAGTCGTGGCATGCCCGAACATCAGCCTCTCTCGCCTGCAGGGTCTCCTCTATACCTGATTTGACTACGGGGTCGACCATGACGACTAACGCGGCTGATGGCGTAACAAATAATTAGGTAATGCGCGAAGATATCGTCTTCTATCTGGAGGTCTAAATTGTTCTAAAACGAAAGATAGAGTGCGCAGACAGATTTTGTACAGCGACTTCAAACTTTGATAGCGTTCTGGTCATAGCTCCAATAACATGCTATAAATTGTATTTCGAGCGTCTTAATGTCGCCTACATTAGGCAAATAGAATGGCAAGATTTCTTTAAGAGATGGCGACACAAAGTCAGCTTGAACGAACGGGACTACGCCAGCAACTATTGTCTTAGAGCACAACTTAGAAAAGGTTACGTGTTGGGAATTCCTCCCAGCCTCCACAAACCTCAAGAGCCAACGTACAGTGATGTGGAGCAGTGCCACACTGTCTCCAACTACAAAGGATCCGAAGGTACCCTCCACAACGGCCTACACCAAGAGAAATGGTACACTACATATTGTAATGTACCTATTCTCACTATCTTGAAGTTTACCCATTTGATGAGCTTCGAAATGACTTGGATCTTGAAACCAAGGCTCTAGTTATTCACCATAAACTCTTGAATGAGTTCTTGGAAGCTTGCTGCACACACCTGCGATACGTCGAACGTTCGACAAACGAGACAATAGAAAACTCACATGACACGAAAACGACGCCATGACACCTGACTAGCGATAACTCGCTAGTGACTCGACACACATATTCGACATCATGAATTATCATTCAAACACTATTATAGGCAAGAAATTTATATTACCTCATGCCCTCATACCATTCCATGCACACACGCATGCATGAATAAGGACAAACGCCGAGTGCAAACCATAGGGTTGAACCAACATAAATGCGCGGTCGTCCACACTCACCACACCATGCGGAGAGTCACTATATGATAGGAGTAGACTACATAGGAGGGAATGGGGTTGCGTGGGTGATCGTAGCATTGTACAAGCGTTCTGACTACTTGTTGTGTTCACTGAGAAAATTGGCAAGAGTTTCGCTAGCAAAAGATATTGAACATTGAATTTCAGCAAGTCGATATACCAAGAAATACATTGTAATACCTAGCAAGCCATAAGCAAGGCGAACTACTAGTGCAGCAGCACAGTGGCTTGCCAACGCTGCAGCAGGTCGGCCAACTAGCGCAGCAGAAGGGTGATGTGCCAACGCTGCAGCACGGCGGCATGCCAGTGTAGCAGAAGGGAGACGTGCCAACGCTGCAGCAGGGTGGCCTGCCAGCGTTGCACCCAGGGCGGTCTGCCAGCACTGTAGCCGCAGATGAGCATGTGCGCACATGTGCGCACCTACCAACTAGTTGCAGGTTGACGGTTGCACCATCAGGCACGTTGTGCATGTGCCAGGGTGAACGCGTGT